TATATATATATATATATATATATATATATATATATATATATATATATATATCATATATATACGGACCCTAAGCATACACTTATGAAGGAATGGAGGTGAAAGCACAAGAAACGAAATGAGTCGTGTTTGTCGAATGGGGTGAATTGGGTGACTGGTACGAGCGGTACTGAGGGAGTGTAAGTGTGCGGTCAAGGGTCAAGCTGCCTCTGTCTGCCCTGTGCCCTCTCATCTTCGCCCTCTTTCCATACTCACTGACACCACCGATGACACTAGAGCTTCACCACAAACTACCCTTTTGAAATTTGTTGATTTCATTTGATTACATTTATTTTACTAGATATTTAACCTTGATAAGTTGAAAATCGTTTTAAAAATTTCACCCTCTACTTTCATTTTATCCCTGCAGGCCTGAACCATTCATTACAACAATTTTAAGCCGTTTTGGTAAGTACATGGGTCAGTGATCTATTTAAATACCCTTCAGCCTATTCCTTGAAAAGTCAAACAGGGTCATTAGCACGAATAGGTGAGGACTGAATGAGTGACTAGAGATAGCGAATATCGTCTTAGAACCTGTGGTTATTAAGTGAAACACTTGAAATGCTGTTTTCTACAAATATGCTAATTGTCACCATTCATTTAATGGAAAATTAATTCACGTGTCTTGTTTGTTACACTTAACAGGATTTTTCGACTGATAAGAAATACAATTTCAGATTAAATGTCCGAAATTTGAATTTTTTCCCATGATTTCAAGCCATTTCATTATTTCAACAGTACTGTTATTTTTTACAGTTTGAAATCCCGTATTCTGCTAATAACTAAAACTGGAACTCCTCAGGGAGGCAAAAATAGCAAATTATATTCAAGCAATAGTGTTAGGACTATTGGCGATATAAAAAGTTTAGAAAAAACTTGTCCTTGGGTTACGTGCAGATCTGTAAGTTGAAATCATACCTGCATTGAAAAATACCTATCTATTTGCTACAATAATGGACAAATAACCGTTCTTGGAAAAGTGAAAATATCGTTAATTCCTCTTGGACATGTAGTACTGATCTAGGTGCACAAATAATGCTCATTTCTATAATTGACAGTGCACGTTGAACAGCCATTCCGATGAATTCTCCTTATGACAAGCTCTCTAGAATGTTGTTAGGCGTTATTAAGCGATTTGGCTGATGTGATTCGCTTTACTTTCCTGAGTAAAAAAGATATAAAAGTTTGTGATCCAGAGAATATCTTATCGTAGTTTGTTTTGCCCAGTAATTGGGCACTGATTAGGCTGTTGGAGATGCCAAATTAATTGGACTTCTCGGCTAAGCGCTTTTTCCATTGTCCTGAAACGTGTATTTTCTAGAAATACTGCCCAAACTATTAACAAATTCACGGATAAAAAATAAACATCGGAGACTCAACATCAGACGAATATACAAGCAGCAATAGCAAGCATCATGTGCCTTTTTCAAAAAATTTTATAAAAAGGAGGGGTTTCAGACCCTTGGCGGAATCTCAGCAGCAAATTCATCAAGCACAGAACTGTTACCTTCATCGGCAACATCATCACCGTCACGAAGCTCCGAAACATCAACTGTCGATACTGTTGCTTCCACTGATTTTCTTAGACGCTACCAAAAGGTTATTATGATATAAAACATTGTAGAAACATATAAATTTCACTGCTGATTATTTTTCATTTACAACCAATCGCGTATGCAAAGTTCCGGATGTAACAATGTTTCAGAGTGACGGTGCAATACCGATACTAAGTGCATTCAGTGCAAGAACAACCAGTAACCCAGATCAGCTGCAACCTCCTGGTATACCGGTCACTGCTTTTAGCCCACTGTTGACCCCTACAATGATGGCCGCACAAATTGGCTTGCTTGGTACTCCAAATACTCTTCTCTCAATGATGCAGGTTTATTTTTTGGCAATAAGCTTTTTCTCTTGTTCCAACTCTCTGAACTGATCTCCAACAAGGTTCATGTATATTGTAAGACACTAGAAATCACTTTGTTTGAACGAGTTCCAATTTTCCAACGACTCCTATTAATCATATTTAAAAGAAATGATTGTTAATAATCAGGAATTGCAGACTAAACTTCTCAAACTTTTCTTATCTGTGATCATATGAAACTTAGAAAAACAAGTAATATTTCTGAAGGTTCGAAGCAAGCCAAGTCTTCTGAATGTTAGGTCGTAAAAGTCAGGCAGTTTGAACAAGATCAGTTTAACAACTATATCTTTAGGTAAGCATCTTTAAAAAATCAGTGTACCTTTGTGACCAATTCATATTGACGAAATTTTTAGAACGTTAACTGACGAAAGATTCTACAATAACTTGTACATTTCCTGAAATCCATATAGTTTAGGCAGCTACTGCGCAAAATTCATTAGTGCATCATAATCGTTGCAATGACAGAAATGGCCAAATAGTGCCAACAATGTTGCATCAGCTGTCCGCACTACACAGCAGTCAGGTTCGTTTTCAATTATTTGAAAAACATTCGAAGGATAAATGTTTCCTTTGCCTTATTAAACACAATGATCTGAAAAGGTCTCACCATAGTTGCAACACTTTAGCTGTATGCTTACCCGGTTTTCTTGCACATTAATCAAAGAGAGAAGAGGAAGAAATATATTTCTGCGCTAAATACAACAATTTACTAATATCTAATAAATGGTTTAACTGCTAAATATCACTAAATTTGTTCATGCGATAAACGAGGTAGTTGATACTTTCTAAATGTGCAAGCAATACAATGAGTTTGTAACCAAAAGGAAACATGAATGGTGGGATTGCCAAATGGAATATTTGTATAATATTTTTCTCTTTTACGTTGGTGATCGCAGTTTATTTTTAAAAACATGTTAGATTTCCCATACAAAATGTTTTAAAAGAACAGCGGGCAGTTCAAGTAGAGTACGATCTTAACCTAATTTTAATCTGTTTCATCTTAAATATCTTTTTTGTTATCATGTGATTAGAAAATTTCACAAGGTTTTGAAAAATATCTCACTGGATCTGAGACAGAACAGAAAGAATGATTTCGAAACAGTGAAAACTGTATAGAAAGAAAAAAAGGAAAATACTAAGAAAAGGAAAATGTTCGTAACCAAGTCGAATAGTTGAAACTAAGTTTCATTTTAGTGGAAGAACATTGAGCGAAATTTCAACAGTTAATGCTTCTCATATTCCTACACAAAAAAAGCCTATTCACCAAAAGTAAATTTTCACAGCAAATGAATGAAAATTTGTGAAAAGTTTTGTTTCTCCAAATTTGTCGGATGATTATTTTAAAATCCACTGAATTGCAAACACTTAGAGATTCCAAAGAGAACTATCTAAACATTCAACCAAAAGTGGACGAAATGAAGCCTGACGTTCGGAAACGTTATCTCTTGTTCCCAGCCAATACAACATCTCGTGCTGATCTCACAGTTTCTCACTTGCATTCTTTTCTTTCAAACCGCAACTGTGCTTCGGTGTGAGTTTAGGAACACCCGCTATTATAAGTGTGTCATTCCGGAAGCCATTCAAGTGATTTCATTGAAACTCAACACGATCTTTGCTTTCCTTCCACATCCATTTACTTTCTGATGCTACTGATGCTACGAACAGCTTTGATATCCCAAATATAAAACGTGTTTCAGAAACTCGGAGCACGTTGAAAATTGCCCATTTAGATTCGCATATTTTTTTAAGAAAGGCTGTTAGAATCTAAGTGCAGACATTTTCTTCTTTTCTCTTATGTGATATTTGTTTATGCACTTCAAGTCCATTGCTGCTATCTCATGCTGCTAAACTGAAGAAAAAAACAGCCAAAAATTGAGGGGAGGAGAAGGATGCATAAATTTAGAAATTATTTTTTTTCCGAAAAACTACAATGCTTTACTGTTATGTCAAAGTTGCTCTAGCTGAGTGAAATTTACTACAGTTTTCAGTTAATTAACTTCTAACCTAGGGAATAACACCGAAGAAGTTAGATGGTTGTGTCATAAACGAGTACACACAAGTAATCCTAAAATTAAGAGCAAAAAAAAATACTGGCAACAAATAAGCAAAATTCAGACTAATGATGCCCGTAAAACATCTCCGACTGTTGTGAGAGAGTTATTCAACTTGGGTTGACATATCCATGAGCATTTCTGACTGAGTCATTAACTTAAACGGACACCTCTACACTCTAACATTCGACGAGGAAAGTACGTAGTGTGGGTATAAGAATCGGATATTTCTCATGCGTTAGTATGTTTTCAGTTGTTAAGGTTTGAAAAGTGAGCCGTATTGCCTTGCAATGAATGCCCTTTGGACAGAGGGCAAAGGTCACTGCATCTCAACACAAGATTTGTCGTGCGCCAAGGTAGGTCTGGTCCGTTGACTGTCAAGGTTTTTGCTGAATATGCTCACAGCGCAGGTTCACGAGGCCTGCATGCTCGTCACCCGCCATCCACTCGACGACAAGTCAGTGTAGGAAGAAACTTGAAATGAAAGTGGGAAAAAAGAGGAGGTTATAGAATAAGGGTGGGGCGCAGAGGGAAGAGGAATTAACGGCCAGCGGCCTCCGTATGCAATTCACTATTTCACCTCTGTGGACAAATAACTGACGACGACTGGGACGGCTGGCTGTTGCAGCGGCTGCTGTTGCTTCCCTGCAGCCTGCCTCCTCTTTTGCACTGCCATTTCTACATTTAGTAGTGATAGTGTTGCTTGTTGTTTGAGAGGTAGCAGTAAGTCATAGGCTACGCACCTTCAACGTGTTCTTTCGCAGATCGACCTTTGTTTACGTCACTCATTCTGCTGATTGTTTTCTTTACCACTTGGGTAAGGAGAAAAAAGGAGGAATGGTATGAAAGGTCCACGGATGGATCGAGGGAATGCGATGAGCGATGAAGCAGTGATTTCTGTTGTATATCGAATAGATGCAAGCCTAAATAGATAGGATGGCACACTGTCGAGTAAACTGCTGGGGTTCTATTGAAGGTCACGACCTCTA